ATTGTTTTCATCTATCTCTCCCATCCATCTATCAATCCACCCATCACTCAGTAAGTCATTCCAGTAATACACATCTCAGTCTCTATGACATCACCTGTAAGATAGGCATAGTGATATTACCATTGGCAAAGGCTGTTTTGGAAATTAAGATAATTTCTATGAAGCACACTGCCTAACATATGGCAAACCCTTTAGGTAATTATTATTATTAAACAAGTAATTACAAGAGACATATCAACACACACACTCACAGAGAGTTCTTGAACAGCCCTTGGTAGGATGGACAGGGCAAAGTTGCAGCTGAAGGGAGTTAATTTAATTCCTGGGGAACAGACAGACCTTTCAAATTAAAAAAACAATGAGGACATGGCCCATCAGTAAACAAAAGAGGGAGAGTCCTGGATGCTCACTTTAGAGCATGAAATGTTAGAAGGTTTGGAAGATAATAATTAAATTGACACGAACCACTTAAAATGGGTAGAAATGTGGAGACAGAAGACAGAACTGGGGAGGGGGAAGGGTTAATTATAGAGCCCTAGCCACTCACAGGCCTGCCTCTATTTCCCCATTGTTCTTCTTAGAACAAATATCTTTGCTTGCAGTCAGGACACCTGAAACTCGGTGTTGGGGGGGGGGGGCAAGGGTTCAACAGGAAGCAGAGTCTCTCAGAGAGGAGCAAGCTGGAGGGAGATGTCTGAAGGCTGATTTGGAAGGAACTGAGTGTCCTGAGGAAGCTGTGGACTCCTCCTAACTTCTTGCAACTCCACTCTTCTGTGTGAGCTAAAACCTGGATCTGAAACCCTTCCCCAGCCCAGACACAAAATCCTGAAGCTATAAAGAGAAGCACTCACAGATTCGACTGTCAGAAAAATAGAAGTAATTATATGACAAAAGATACCCCAAGCCCAGAGAGGAAAGCAACAGACTGGGAGAAACGCTTTATAAAATGTATTTTAAGGATATATTGTAACAAGGAGGAGCCTTCTCAATACCCAGGAATTCCTCCAAATCATCAGGAAAGAGACAAAGCTGACAGAGGATGGAAACAGACAACTTGAGACGTGGGTATCCAAATACGCATGCCCAGTAGCAGGTAAGAGAATGCAAAAGGAAACTATGTTACTGTTTGTCACTTCCTTGACAAAATTAAGAACATGTATAATACTTCATATTGGAAAAAGTGAAAGGATGGTGACAATGTGAACTGATTGGACAGTTCGCTAGGCTTGCTTTTTGGGATCAGACTCAGGTGGTCAGACTTTCAAGGCAGACTTGTTTTTACCTGCTCAGCTCCTTGCCAGCCCATAACCTTTTTGTTTATTTTTTTGATACAGGGATTATTTTCTTTGTGTTACAGCCTTGGTTGTCCTGAACTAGCTCTGTAGAGCTGACTAGCCTCAAACTCAGGGATCTGTCTGCCTCTGCCTTCTGATTGCTGGGATTAAAGATATGAGCTACCACTGCCCTGCTCCGAGCCTTTTAAAGGGCCAGTACAGCCTTTTTTTTTTTTTTTTTTTTTTGCAGTAGCTTGACTTTAAAGGACACTTTGTTAAATAATCTGCTTTGAGTAATTATTCTTATTCACATCCATCTCCACACAAAGGCACAAGAATGTCAATGGCAACACGAAAATACTTATTTAAGGTCAGCACTCAGGACACTGAGAGACAGAGAAGTTAGGTAACTTACTCGGGATCACACAGGTGACATGTAGTAGTGGCAGGTAGCAGTTGTTCCTCATAGTCTGTCCTCCAGTGCTATTCTATTGAATCTTTGGCATTTTCATATTGCAGAAAAGAGTACAGCAGATAGAAAATGAAGATTTCTCTGTCCACATGTGTGGACAGAATAATGGGAAATGGACTATTAAGTTGCAAAATACTATGATATGGTACAATTCTGTGTACAAGAATATATATATCCTTGAGTGATAAAATAATTCAGGTGAATGGTGGTTCACATCTGTAATCTCAGCACTTGTGGGGGGGGTGAAGCAGAAGGATTTATTAATTCCTGGAGAAGAGACAGACCTTCAAGTTAAAAACTAGAAATGAGGGGAAAGGAAAAACACAATCAAAATATATTATATCAACTTTTTAAATAAAAAATCCAAAACAACTAGAAACAAGGACATGTTTTCCTCAGTGGATACCTGGACCCTTAATTAGAGGTATAGAAGGGACTCCTGGGTGGTAGATGTTAGGGAGGGAATGGCCATGAGTTAGAGGCTATCCTGGACTACATAGTAAGTTCCTTGGCAGCCTGGGTTCCTGAGTGACATTCTGTCTAATAAATAAATAAATGTTTAAAGATGTGTGAGAGTAAAAAGTAGAAGACAAAATTTCAGGCTATATTCTATATATATCTTTAAATAAATTATTTATTAGTGTGTTTGTGCATGGTATCTGTCTGTGGAGGCATGTGTGGAGGTCAGATGACAACTTTGTGGAGTCAGTTTTCCCCTTCCATCTTTAAGTGGGTTCCTGAGATGGGACTTAAATCACTAGGCTTGGGTGGTAAGCATCGCTACCTGCTCAGTCATCACAAGTTTTCTGTACCTAATAATGGCTATCCATAGAAGTATTTGAATCTTGTTGATTGCTGCTGTTCCTTTTATTTACTTTTTCTTTGCGTTTTGTGTGTATGCTCATATGTGTGTGCTGCTATGTAGGGAGGTCAGAGATCGATGCTGTGTGTCTTTCTTAGTTGCTTTATACTGTATTTATTCATTCATTTGCGATAGGGTCTCTCACTGCACCTGAAGCTACTCAATTTGGCTAGTCTGGCTGGCCAGGCAGCCTCAGAGATCTTGCTGTGTCTGCCTCCCCAGAACGGACACTATAGGTTTGTTGTAGATGTTGCTGGGGATTGAACTCAGGTCCTCGTGCTTGCAAGCACTTTATGGATCTTCTCATTTTAGTGTTTTGTTGTTGTTGTTGTTTTTGTTTGTTTGAGATAGAGACTTCTGTAGTCCTGGCTGGCCTCAAATTTGCTATGTAGCTTAAAGATGGCCTTGAACTCCTGATCCTCTTGCTGCTCCCTCCTGAGTGCTGGGATTACATATGTGCACAACCATGTCTGGGTATTACCATTCTTTTAAAACAAGGTTCCTAAGGCTGGAGACCATGGCTACTCCACCAAAGTCCATAAAAACATACAGCTGGTCATTTCAAAATCAATTTGTAACCTAAAGATCACAGCATTCCTTTTGAAAGCTTATACTATCACCAGGAAAAAGACCTATAATATCTGTAATCATGAATATCGAATTATTCTGCTCCAGTACATTAGTGGGAGGGAGGCTCTACCCTCCTGCTTTGGGTCTGTGGGGGACATGAAGGAGTAAATTCACCTCCAGGTAGGCTTGAAGTGCTACTTTTTCTGACCAGAGGGCAGTCTATTATCTGCAATAGAAAGGGCTCTCTTGAGTCACCCAGGGCCTCTTCCTGCCTTAGTCCAAGTCAGAGTGACTTCACACAGAAAGGAGAGATGTTCCTGGAACTCTGGTGGGCGAGGTGAGGTTTTGATAAAGCCAGGGCTGGAGCCTGGTGAATATCGCTTGGCACCCACACGAGCCTTACTGTCTCAATATTTCGGAGCATTACACTGTAGCTTCTTAGAGTAACCCATCAGTAAGTCTAGTTTTTCAAGTTTTGAAATTCAGTACACTTCTTAACATCCTTTGATGCTGTTTTTGAGACAGGGTTTCTTTGTGTCGCTCCGGTTGTCCTGGAACTAGTTCTGTAGACCAGGCTGGGCTTCGAACTCCGAGATCCGCCTGCCTCTACCTCTGTGTGCTGGGACTAAAGTCGTGCACCACCACTGTCCTCCTTAGCATCTTTAGAAGAGGGGGAAAATCCCACTCACTTAGGAACAAGAGTATTTTCATTTGCTTAGCCGCTCATTTCAGAGTGTTCACAATCTCCTCTGCACTTTTCACTTTCGGTACATTTTCCCTCATTCTTTAACCGGCCTGTAATCCCATCAGGATTCTCTCCTGATTGTGGCAGAGCTTGTTTGGATTATTCAGTTGCAGGACGATTGAGTCCACTCCCAGTGCTTTGGTCATTACGAACATTCTGAATAGCCCAGCTGTAAACATCTCCATGCAAAGTCCTCCCCTCTTTGGATCATTTCCTTACACTTGGACTTCCTTAAATGGGCTTACTAGGTCAAAGGGGCTCTGTGAACAGTTTTATAGCTCTTGGCACATAGTTTTCAGATTGCGCCCGGAGAGGATCTGACCAATAGCTCGGGGGCAGCGAGAGGGCAGGAATGCGGAGAAGCAGCCCCTCTTCCACTCCCAAAGCAAGGCCCTCGTGAATGCAGAAGCGCTTCCCTATTGCCCTCCCGTTGTCTATGCCTGGCCAGGGTCTAAGGGCTAACACCAAGCGGACACTACGGTTAGGGAAGGGTACAAAGGTTTGAGAGAGCCCAGAATTCGTGCCCCGGAGGTGGGAGCAACTCCTCCTCCAGGCCTCCCTGCCCTGGGTGGGACTCAAGATTCAAACGAGTCCCAGACACTGAGCACTGGCTAGGGGCGCGGCCTCCCCGCCCCCTGAAGCCCCAGGCCACGGCCCCGGGCGCGCAGGCCCGGGGAAGGGCGCTGACCTAGGGGTGCAGGACTTCGGCGCGGTTTGCATAGCTGTGCGCTGAGTCAGCGGGACCCGGCGGGCGGGGGGCGAGCACGTCTGCTAGGCCGCGGGGTCCGGCCTGCGACGCGGGGATACGCCGCGGGGACTACGGGGGACGGCGCCGCGAGCCGTCCCGCCTCACTGCCCCGGGAACGGGCCAGACGAGGAAGCCAGATCGGCCGGGGCGGGCGGGTGGGCGGGCGGGGGAGAGCGGAAAGGAAGCTCGGCAGCGAAAGCTCGGCGGAGGGGCGGGACCGAAGGCCAGGGGGCGGGGCGAGCCGCGGGAACGCGCTGGGTGGGCGGGGCGGGCGCTCGTGCGCGGCCGGCCGCGGGCGGAGGGGCTTGTGGGTAGCGGCGGCGCGCGGCCGAGTAGGGCCGCGGAGCGGGCTGTGTGTGAGCGGAGCGGGCTTGTGGGCGCGCGAGGCGGCCGGCGGCGACATGCGGGCGCACGGGCGGCGGCCCTAGCGGCCCGAGCCCCGAGGGCGGGGCGGCGCGGCGCGGGCGCCCCTTCCCCGCTCCCGCCCGCCGGGTCCTGGCGAGCTCGCTGCGGGCCGGGCGGCGCGCGTGCGGCTGAGGGGCGGGGACGCCGTGTGCCTCGCTGCTCCCAGCCGGGCCGGGCGGCTCCTCAGACAGCGGCGCGAGGCGGGCCCGGGCGGAGGTTCCGCGGGTGGCGCTAGGCCCGGCGAAGCGGCATGAGCCGGCCCCCGCCGACGGGGAAAATGCCCGGCGCCCCTGAGGCCGCGCCGGGGGACGGGGCGGGCGCGAGCCGCCAGAGGAAGCTGGAGGCGCTCATCCGAGACCCTCGCTCGCCCATCAACGTGGAGAGCTTGCTGGTAGGTGTCGGCTTGGGAGGGCGCTCCCGGTCCTGCCTGGTCCCCCCTTTGGCTCACCCGCCCGGCTTCCGACTCCCCTGGGGTCTGGAGACCCCACCTGGGATTCCTCCGTCCACCTCCCGCCAGAGCGGGTGTCATCTCGGCCGCCCCCTTTCTTGGAGCGCGCTGGGAGGAAACACCCCTGGGCTCCTTCCCGCCTACCCTGTCGGTTTGGGGCGGAAAGGTGGAGGATTGGCTGTGCTCCCTACCCCAGACTAGCCAATTTGAAAGTGTCACGCGGCGTGGGAGCTCGGGTGAAATCGAGGGAGAAAGAAACCCGATGCTCTCTTTCCCTGTTGGGAGTACCACCTGGGGTACATGACAAAGAGCTTCCCTCACTCCGTCCTCCTCGTCAGGAGTCTGGGACCGCACAGCTCAAGTTGGCTATTTGCAGTTGCTCTTGGGCATTCCATAGTAGCTATTTAGTGCATTTGAATTTATGTAAATTAAATTTCCGGAGATTGTTGCTCCGAAGCCAAGAAATGAGTTTGAATTGTAGAGTGGAATAAATCTTTCCCCTTCATCTTGTCTTTTTCCATAGCATTCAGAATCCAAATTGAGAGTCTTGGGAAGGCTGCTGTAGCTGGGGCTTGATTAAGAAAAGAACACGTTTTACAATAAACGCCGCGTAGAATGCTGGCATACTTCTGGTCTTGGGGGAAGCAATTATGTTTGGCAAACAGATTTGATTAGTGTGCAGCTAGAGATGCATTTAAGGGGGCAAGGAGAGAAGTGGTGTGAACGTGGATCATGAGAAGTCGGGGGGGGGGGGAGATACTCTGGCTATTAGCTCTGGAGGGCTAGACGTAGGGTGGGTGTAGGCATTCTGTGACAGAAAGCGTGTCAATTCTGGGCCCTGCTAGAGAAAAAGCCTAGTGACTCCGATGAGAAGAGCTGCCTCCTCCCTTCCCACTGAGTAACTTTTCTTCTGAGGCCGTTGGTTGTCCTTTGAGGTTTCTGGAATCATTTGCAGTGAGTGACTCAGTCGCGTTTGGCCACAGTGCAGGAACTGCCTAGAGAGTGGGTATCTTGCTGTCGGATGGGTAGAATGTAGAGATTTTGACTGCGCGGGGTGGGGGGGATTTTTGTTTGTTTGTTTTTGTTTGGTAGTGGGTTCGTGTGTTCTTGTGGGACAGTATTGGGATTCTTTAGTTCAGAGTAGGATTGGTTGCATGGAGGTCATAGTGCCTTTTGTAGATAAAGCAAAGCTTCTCAGGTGTCAAAAGCAGAGGTTCTCAGGGGTCAGTGCCAGCATTTTCACTTTGGTATTTTCCTAGCAAAACTTTGATCCTAGGCCAGAAAGTTCAGTTAAAAATAGTGCCTGTAAATCTTAAGTATTGGCCAGGTTCATCTTCAATCCCTGATAGAAATGTTTAACATTCATCTCTTGATAGTGATGTTACTCATCGTTATTAGAGTTATTCTGAGCTTGGAGTGAAGCTGTTTATACCTGTGACACGACCATTTTGTTTTATTAAAATATTTCTTAAATTGTTACACGTGGCCAGGAACAGTTTAGTTCCTTCCTTGAGTGCTTAATACAGTCAAGACCCATATTTGTTAAGGTGACATATTACTGTTGAGGGTTGACACCAGATGCTGATGTGACAGCAAGCTTACTGCTGCTTTTAGTTGATTACATGTCATCAAGAATCAATGCAGGTGTGATTCTGGAGTGCAGCAAAGGTTACTAAGTCAAAATGTGCTCTTTATACCTTTGGAGTGAGAGTCCTGGTGCCTCTGCTGTACACTGATAAAGTTACAATATCTGTTATGCATATTTTTATCATGAATTAGACTGAATTATGTACTGCCTAGTTTTATGTCACCTTGGCACAAGGGAAGGTCAATTGAGAGAATGCCACCATAAAATCCAGCTGTAAGGTATTTTCTTAATTAGTGATTGATGGGGGAGGCCCAGCCCCTGGTGGGTGGTGCTATCCCTGGGCTAGTGGTCCTGACTTTTATAAGAAAGCAATCTGAACAAGCCATGGATATCAAGCCTGTAAGCAGCACCCCTCCATGACCTCTGCATCAGCTCCTGCCTCCAGGTTCCTGCCCTATTTGAATTCCTGCCCTGACTTCCTTTGATGATGAGCAGTGGTGTGGAAGTATAAGCCAAATAAACCCTTTCTTCCCCAAGTTGCTGTGGTCATGGTGTTTCATCACAGCAATGGTAACCCTGACCAAGACAAAGTAACATTTTAATTGTAGTAGTAGTACACATAAAATTTGCTATTTAAACCATGTTTAAGTGCAGGGTTGGGTGATGTTAAGTACATTAACATTCATTGTGCCAACCATCATTGGCATTCATCCTCTCAACCTTTTAATAACTCCAAATTGTAACCCTGTAAATTAGTCTTTAAACCAGTATTATAAAACTGTTTAAAAATGCTCATGAAATACTAGCTGTTACCATTTTAAATATTTGAAATAGTACTGTGAACTATATTTCACAATTAATTATTGCTTTATTTAATATTGCATTTCTTTTGGTTTTATTCTAGAAAATATGTCAGTTTTTTGTTTGTTTTGTTTTTTTGCGACAGAGTTGGTATCCTAGAACTTACTCAGTAGACAAGACTGTTTTCAAATTCACAGAGATATGCCTGACTCTGCTTCCCAAGCACTGGGACTAAAGGCATTCGCCACCACTACCCAGCCTAGAAAAAAAACATCTTTAATAGTTAGATACAAACAGCATGGAATTTGGCTTAGAAAGCACCATTGGAGCTTTATACTGCTGAAAATGGCAAGAGATGATGAAACATACCAGAATTTTCTATAAAATGTTTTCAGTAGGCTAGGCAAAGCATTCACATAGGAAAAGAAGTTGAACACGATAGCTTGTCGAGTGTTAGCCCAGTGCCTGGTTATGATGTCTTTACACTTATTTCACTTCTATGTACATTTGGCACATTTTTGCCAGCTTTATGTTTTCTTTGAGACAGGAAATGATTTTTGTTACAGATATTTCTTGTTACACAGTTTTAGATGCATGCCATCATCATTTTGAGTTTGACATCATAAATACTAATCATGGCTGTGCATATATAGGGCTGGATCCCAGGACTCTTATCAGTGTACAGACTAAATTATCTTGTTTCTTTGCAGAGGCTAGTTGCTTTATTTGGCTCTAAAATAATCAGCTCTTTTGAAGTTGCAGATTGTGAGTTGCTTGATATTATATAAAAATAGTTTTCAGGGAGATTTGCTTCTGTAATTTAAAGAACAAAACAAAACATGTATTTTGTGTGTATTTGAGGACATGTACCCTGTCATGGCACATGCGTGGAGGTCAGAGGACAACTTGTGGGAGTCAGTTGAGAGTACTATCTGTCATGTAGGTTCTAAGGACCAAACTCAGGCCATGGGGTTGTCAGGCTTGACAAAGGTATTTCCGTGTTGAAATATTTTTAAGGGAGGCCCTTAAACACTCTTCTGTAGTGTTTGAAATCTTTAGGTAAATAATTTGTGTTGTGTTGTCAGAGATCTTCCCATTGCTTGCCTGCCGTGTTTTAGTTAACTAACACATGCTGGAGAAAGGTCTTAAGGTTTGTGCTTTGGGTTTTTATTTTGTTCTTCCAGAGAGTATGAAGTCATAGTAACCTGTAATACCTAGGTTTTTGGGAATGGATAAAGGTGGTCAAACATTTATTTACAAGTTCAGTGGATTTAAGAACAAAGTAACTATTAACATTGCATTTACATTTTATTTATTGATTTGTATGTTTTTGGGAGGGGTGTTGTGTGTTATGGCATAGGTATGGAGGTCAGAGTACAGTTTGTAGGAGTCAGTTCTCTCCTCGTACCATGTGGATTCCAGTAATCAAACTAAAGTTGTCAGGCTTGGCAGCAAGTTCCTGGAGCTGCTGAGCCATCTGGCTGGCCCCAAAACACCCGTTAGGACTGGTGCCTGCCAGCTACATGAAGATATTACTGTACAGAAATTTTATTTTGGTAGTTCTGAGTATTGACCTCAAGACCTTACACATGCTAGGTGAGTGTCTGTCTGCCTCTGGACTATGGCCCCAGCTCCATGAAAATACTTATCACAGTGCTTAGGATCTTTCCCTTTAGTGCTGGCTCTTCAAAATACAATTACATGTGTTCACCCATCCCTACAAGTAATGACTGAGACTATTTTGAAGATTTGATAAAAATTAAATAGAATAAAAGAAAAAAATATTTTGTACATGTAGGGGTGGACATTCAGGATATACAGCTTAATTACTTTAAAACTTAATGATTCTTTGTTATTTTTTAACATTTATTTATTTCATTTTTTTGGTGAGTATGTGTTGGAGAACTGAAGAAAGCTCTCTCCTACTATGTGGGCTTCGAGATCTAATTCTGTTGGGCTAGGTGTTGTGCCATTTCACTGTCCCTAAAACTTGCAACTATACTGAAAATGAATTGGCTTTTAGTGGCGTGTGGAATTTGCTGTTTAGACCAAGCTGATCTTCTTTTCAGGTTTAGGTCCATAATTCTTTATTTATAATTTTGGTACATAAAGAGCTTTGAAAATAAATTCTTATTAAAATTTATTTATTTAATAAATGGCAACTTCTGACCCGATGCTTTGTTAGAATGTTTGCAGTCTGTGCACTGATCTTGCTGTAAATAACAATAGCTTTCACTGGAGAAATACTAGTATTTTGGTTTCAGGATGCTGTATATCCCCAGGAAGGTTCTAGGGAATTTATAGTATGTGTACTATATTTAAATTTTAAAAAGAAGTTCTGAGGTGGGTGGTAGTGGCTCACACCTTTAATCCTAGCACTCAGGAGGTACAGACAGGTGGATCTCTGTGACTTCAAGGCCAGCCTGGTCTATAGACCAAGTTTCAGGACAGGCTCCAAAACTACAGGGAAACCCTGTCTTGAAAAACGAAAAACAAACAAACAAACAAACAAAAAACCCTGTTGTTTGAAGAATCTTGATCTCACAGTAAGTGA